AATAAATAAATAATTAAATATTTTACTACTAATTTTAGGTTGAATCGTAAAATATTTTAATAACTTTTAAAAAAAAAGCAACCTAATAAATATTTATTTATAAAGTTAATAAAAATTCAACGAACCTCTTCGTAGTTTTATTTTTTTTTTTTTTTTTTTACACTTTTAAATTTTTCTTTTATTTTTTTTAAATTAAAATTATTTACTCTTTAATTTGACGAAAATTTCATTATTTTAATAGTTCCAGAGATTTCGATGAGATTTTTTTTTTTCGAAATGAACTTTTTTACTGGACAACTCGTAAAAAAAAAAAAAAAATATTTCTAAATTTTTTTTTTTTATTTACATTTGCCATTTAAAAGATGAACACAAAATAATTGCGTAAATAAAAAAAATTTTCGTAACTCGTTCGAATGAATTTTTTTTTTTTTTTTTTTTTTATTTGTCAATTCGGTTAAAAAAAAAATATTATAAAATTAATTTGTCGAAGGTTCTATATAGTAAATTTTAAAGTTCAACAGTGATTCATATTAATAATAATAATAATAATAATAATAAAACAAATAAATTTTAAACGAAAAGAAAAATACATAATAAATTATTTTCATTGTATTTTTAAATATGAAAGTGAACATAAAAAAAATTTTTTTTTTTTTTTTGACAGTTCTCCGACCTTATTTACCTCCTGCAACTTATAGACAAACGACGACAAAACGAGTTTTTTTTTTTTTTTTTATAACTTCGTCTTATATAATTTTTTACATACTTTCATCTTTTTTTTTTTTTTGGTTCTTTTATTTTCTATTTATAATTATATTGACTATTCTAACAAGTAATCTCATCTTAAAATCTATTTTTAATTACAAAAAAAAATAATTTCATAAAAAAATTAAAACGGAAATGATTGCAATCTATTTTTTTTTTCGCCTTAAAGGGTTTTTTTTTATTTATTATTATTACTATTATTATTATTTTACGGTATTAAGTTTTACATTTTCTTCAACTGGAAAACTTTCTTTCCAACCTTACTTTTTATTTACTTAGTAATTTTAATTTTTTTTTTTGTAAAAGTAATCGCGAAAAATATATATAATTAACGATAAACAAAAAAATATTTTAAGAAACGTCATCAAAAAAATAATAATAATAATTATTATTATTATTATTATATTTTTGTTTATATTTAAATTATAAAAATTAAAATTCGAACGTTTTTAGGCATAGCGTAAAAATTATTAATAATTAACAGAAATAAAAAAAAGGAAAATTATTTTTTAAAAAAATAAAAAATAAAATTTAAATTATTTAAAATAATAATAATAATAATAATAATAATAACTTTTTTCAGTGAATATATTTTCGATGACCTCAAACGTTATTATTAAAAGGTTTTTAAAATAATAAATTTATTTTATTTTATTTTTTTAACGGTTCGGATGTAATTTCATGCCTGTTTGACAACACAACAAAATTTTTACAATTTTATTAATTAAAAAATTATTAAGTGGTTATTTATGTAAATAAATGCCCTCGGTAGTAGCATTAGTAGTAGTAGTAGTAGTAGCAGCAGTAGTATGAGCAGCCCTTTTATTAGTTTTTTTTTTTTTTTTTTTTTCAAAATATTTATGTACATATATTCTTCATTTTTTATACGGTTGATATTTTATTGCTTTTTTGACTTGTGCCATTTTTTTTTTTAATACGAAGAAAATTATTTGTTTGTTTTATTATTATTTTTCCATTAAATGATTCCCTTGTATAAAAAAAAAAAAAATCTCTTGAAAAGTATAAAAAATTTACAAATTTACGAAAAAAAAAAAACCTCTTGAAAAGTATAAAAAATTTACGAAAAAAAAAAAACATAAGATTTTATCATATGTTCTAAACGACGACATGCGAAAAAAAAGAACTTTATTATCATTATTATTATTATATATTTTTGGTTAAATTAAAGAAGAAGGAAATAAAGAAAAATAAAAAATTTTCCTTTTTTTCGTTTTTTTTTTAATCAATATAAAATTCAAATAGACTGGCACAGGCGGAGTAAAAAATAAATTTTTTTATTTTGTTTTATTTTAATAAAATTAGTAAAAATTTTTTACGTTACGTCAGTTTCACGTAAGACACAATGTCGGGTCACGTAACAAAAAAATTTAAAATCTCCGAAATTGATACAGTTGATAAAAATTTTAAATCAAAGGATTTATTTGACTCTGGATTTGATAAAAATATTAAAACAAAATCTAAGTAAAATTTATTTTATTTTTTTTAAAAATATATTTTCTTATTTGAAAAAACAAAAAAAAATTTAATTGTTTTGTTTGTTTGTTTGTTTGTGATGATTGCACGTGAATTTAAAATGAAAAAATTTTCACGGTTAAACTATTAATAATAATAATTATTATTATTATAAATTTATTTTTGTTTTTATGTTTTGTTTGTTGTGTGTTTTTATTAGAAAGTAATTTGTAAGTAAATTTTTTTTTTTTTTTTTGTTTAAACAAATGGATTATTTAATAATTAAAATTGTTGTAATACACAAACTAATTAAAAAATTTTTTTTTGGGTTGTTCTTCGTAATGCAAAAAATTACGTATTATTATTATTACATTTTTAAAAATTTTATTTCCGGTTTAATTAATTAATAATAAATATTTTTATGTTTAAATAAAATTTATTATTATTATTATAATTATTATTTAGGTTATTATTACGTAATACATAAAAAAAAAAAAAATGAAAAATTTCAATTTGTTTTCGGAAAATCATAAAAATTATTTACCGTGTTATTTCTGCAGTGACGTAAATGTATTATTGAAATTTTCAGATGGGAAATAAAATTCGTATTTTATTGTTAAATTGAATACCCGAGGGGGGGAGGGGGTTAAACGTACAAAAAAAAAAAATTTTTATTTGATGAAGTAAATAATAGAAAAAAAGAATCGTTTATTTGAACGAAAACGTTGCTACGATACAACAACCAACGTTTCTTGTTTTTTATTGATTCTTAGGGGTTGTTCTCTTTAAATTTGTTTTTTTTTTATATGGCCGAGTGAGTTAACTTTTTCTTTTTAACGAGAACATACTATTTTTCGATATGATTTAACTAATAGATTTATTAATCAATTTTATTTATTTTTTTTTTACGTCATACTAGGAACGAAGAATAAAAATGATAATTTTTAGTTGACAAAAATTTTATTATCCCGATTTTTTTTTTTTTTTTGGTGATTATATTTTTAAAAAGTAAATTAATAATATGCTTAATAGGAAAGATAACGGTGGTGGTGGAAATTATGAAATGTTAAAAAAAACACCAGTATCGGATTATACGGAAGGGGCCTATAGGGAGGCTGTATCCAGGCTACGGTACTTGTTGAATGAATCTTATTATCCATCATCGACAAGGTACCATGGGGTACGTAAATAAATTTAGTAAAAAAAAATTTGTTTTTACTTTATTTTGTAATCGTTGAGACATTTTTTTTAAATTTTTACAGATTGGGTTTTCTAAACAGGAAGAAAGTGACGAAGATAAAGAGTCTCCGATGGCAACGGACAGAACCCAACCCCCAAGGGTGAGCCCGTATCGAAGACCGTATTTTCCAAGAAGACCCACAAAACCAATTCATCAAAATGTTCAATCTAACAGTAGCCAATATTACGGTGAAGATGATTCGGATAATGGAAATCAATTTACGGGTTCTCCAGAATTAATAGCTTTTATAGAAAGGCAAGAAGAGTACATAGATCAATTGGAAAAGGAGGCACAATATTGCAGGGTTTGTAATTTTTTTTTTTAGAGGGTTTTATTATGCGACGACGACGACATTACAATTAAAATTATACAGATTAAAAATTTTTATTACAGGACGAGCTATCTCATCTTCTACGCAAGGTGAAAGAATTGATTACAGAAAACGAATTATTACAAGATCAACAAAAGACTGGTTTAATGAAGGTCATGCTTGAAGGTGTGGATGAAGAGAGATTTCAGGTAAGAATATAAAAAAAACTTACAGTTAAGTTATTGTCGAATATATTTAAAAAAAAAAAAAAACAAAATTTTGCGACGTAATTTCCAAAATGTTTTCGTAAAAAAAAAAAAAAAAATTTTTTTTAGAGTCAAAATAAATACATGAAAAATCTCGAGGGGCCATTGATTGTTTTTGAATCGCGTATAAGCGAATTAGAAGCACAATTAACACAGACTAAAATGGACCTTCGAAAAGCTCAAGATGAAGTTGAAATGTATAAGCAAAAATTACAAGATGCTCAACCATCTTCATCAAATTACGATTTTTATAAACAAATAGAAAATTTACAAAGGTTTGTTTAATATTTAATAACAAAACCTTTAGGGACGGAGTAAAAAATCTATTTTTTTTTATCGGGGGGGATACTTTTTCGTAGGGAAAAAAAAGATTTAAACGAATCGTTGGCAAAACTTCAAGCATCAATTAATCAAATACGAGAAAAAGAAATGGATGCATCGAAAAAAGTACAAAAAACGTTAGACGTTGTAGATAAAACACAATTTGAAAAACAACAAGCTGAATTAGAAGTGTATCGTTTGAAAAGCGAATTAGAAATGCAACACGATAAACTTTTAGAAGTTTTATCCGAGCAAACGAGAAAAGTTGCAGATGAAAGAAGTCAAGCCGAGCGTCGGTATCAGCAACATATCGAAAGGTTAAATTCCGAATTGACAATGCAACGCGATGCCGTATCCAAATTACATATGGAAATAGAAAAATACAAAAGAATCGAAGAAGATTTAAAACGAGATTTAAACGCAAAAAATATGACAATAGAAAATGTTAAAAAAGAACTCAGTAATAAAATTGGTAGGTACACACTCCGCTTTCTTTTATGGGAGTGTATGAAATGTCATAGTCAACTCAATGACCCAGGAACTTGATTATTTCGTAACATTTTTCCCTGAAAACAACTTTGCACTTTTATTATTGACACGATCGTTTATACTTTTATTAAATCGACTTGGTTCTTCTAATCTTACTTGCAAATTTTTTAATACTACCATTATTATTATTATTATTTTTTAAATAAATAATATAAACTTATCTTTTATTTATATATTTTAATTTAAATATATACTTATATATTATATTAAAGTTTGAAAAAAAAAATATTAACTATAATATTGTTTAGCGTTTGTTTAAAACAAAACAAAATTTCATTACAACAACCAACCTCCACCCACCTCCCCGTGTAATTAATTATATAAAACTTACTAATTATTTGCAAACATCATTCGAGCCTCTTGATAAATAAATAAATAAAAAAATTATGAAAGACAAATATAAAATTTTTAATATCACTGCAAAGTTTGTTTAAATATTATTTAAAAAAAAAAAAACTTTTTTTACAAACCGTGAAAACATTTACTTAATTAATTTTAAATATTATTATTATTATTATTATCGTACAAAAAAACAATGATTTGATTATTATTAAAAAACTTTGTTCTAGCGGGATTGCAAAAAGAATTAGCTTCTGCTTTGGCGGAAAGAGATTCCATGGAACAAGAGCTTAACACGAGTAGAATGTCAACCGAACGTGTAGAACGTTTAAACAAACAAGAATCGAACAGGTTACAAGTTGAAATATCATCGCTTAAGAAACGTTTGGACGGCGGTGATGTTGATTTGATACATTGCAGAAAAGAAAATCTTAGACTTTTGGAAAAAATATCCGATTTGGAAAAGGATGTAGGTTACAATGTGGTTTTTTTTCACTTTTGAAATTAAATTTCCTTACCTGATACTATTATTATTATTATTATTTTTTTTTTTTTTTTAACAGCTAACGCTTTACAAGATAAAGTTAGGAGAACAAAAAGATCCGATTGAAGAAGAAGAAAAAAATGCAAGAGAAAAAATAATTAATACGAGAATATCTGAAATTGAATCGAAACACGGTAAGGCTTGTATTAAATAAAAATAATTACGATAATTTTAATTTTAGTATCAATTCATGGATAATTTAAGCGCCATTTTTTTGTTTTTTTTTTTTTTTTAAATTTAAAATTGCTTAAGGTGGTCGTATGTCGGTTCACAACAGAATATATATTCATACTTTTTCATAACCATTCGATACGTAAATAATAATAATAATACAAAAAAAAAAAAAAAAAAAATCAATCATTTAAAAAATCAAATCTCTAATCTCATATAATCGTATCAGTATTTAAAGCACTAAACATGTTACAAATACAAAACGCCGCTATCTATCATTTTACGGTTTTTTTTAAATTAGATTAGGGTCATAAAAGATCCACACAATTATGTTTTATTCGTTTGGCATTGCTTAGTTAATATTATTATTATCTATACACTGCTTATCGGTCACTGTTGTTATCAATTAATTATTAAAATTAATTTTTTTTTGCTAATAATTTATTTAGATTTTTTTTTATTTTTAAAAATGCTTTGCAATATTTATTATTATTATTTTTACAATTAGCTTAAGCATCATTTTTTAATGAAATTTTTTTCGATGATGTTTCTCTAACTTTAAAAACAACATAAACAATTATTAGATTAAAAAACCAGAAAGGTTTTTAAAAAAAAAAATTTTTCCAGTCGAAAAAGTGTCCGATCTTGAAGGTCTGATAGAAAACCAGTCCCAAGTGATGGCACAACTCAAGGCCGAATGTGAATCCCTCACCCAGAAGTTAGAGGAATCTACTGCACGTCACAAGTAAGATCCACAAAAAAATTTTTTTTTTTTTTTTTTATTAATATATTGGCTAAAGTTATTAATTATTTTTTTTTTAAAGTAGATTTTTGTTTTAAACAAATTTTATTTTATTTTTTATTGTTTCGCCTTGAAAATAATTTTTTTTTTTAAAATTTTCACATATGCGTGATTTGCTGTTTCCAATCAATTTTTTTTTTTTTTTTTTTTTTTTCGAAAACGAGAATAAATTTTTTTCTCGTATGATTATTATTATTATTTAGAATAAATTTTATTTTTTATACAACACCGAAAAAAAAAAAAAGCACATAAAATGCCAAACCTTTTTTTTTTTTTTTTTTTTTTTTTTTGTTCCTCTACGACTATTCGTGATAGACTGAATCGTTGTATGATTTTATGTATACTCATAGGTACGTCAACAATGGATGTAACATTCTTAAATGGAGGTAACAAACAAGCAGAAAAACCTAAACAAATCAAAATTGATTTATCTGTAAATGTATATTCAAAGGGAAATATTTCAAAGGTTTGTATTTGTTGTGTGTTGTGTTGGGGATTTTTTCGAGTTGCTCGGTTTTGGCTAAAGAAATTTCTCTTCGCAATATTTCGCTTGCTTGTTTTTTTTTTTCTCTTTAAATAAAAACCGCCATTTTGTCTTCGAGTGGATTTTCGTTAATGCGTTTTTTTATGAAAAATTAATTTTACATATTACTTTATCCTGCACGGTTTTTCGTTTGTTTGTTTGTTTGTTTTCTGGAAATTTTTATTGGCACTTTTCCTTTTTTTTTTTTTTTAAATTTCTATAGTTTTTTTACGATTCGAAATTTATGTCTTACGTATGCTAAGTAAGATTTTCAACGAATAAAAATCAGTCAATCAATCAATCAATCAATTATTTCTTTGTCGATGCGTAATATTTATTCAGTAACGGTGCAATTATCGATGGTATAGTAAAAAAAAAAAAAAAAAAAAAAAAGTGAAATTTGTGAAAAAAAAGAAATGAATAAATAAAAATAATTATTAATATTATCAAAAGACCCTCTCTGCGATTATTATTATTATTTATATGATAATATAAAAAAATAATTTTTTTTCGTACTAGAAACATGCATTTAAAGACTATTGACCTTCGACCTTGATCGAAAAATATACTTATTATTATGTTTAGGTCATTCAGTCAAAGAGATATTCATACGAAGAAAAACTATTAATGTTTTTTTTTTTTTTTTTGAGGGGGGGATCAATAAAATTTTATTGTTTTTTTTGTTATCGATTTATCGATTTTTTTTTTTTTAATTTTAAACGTTGGAAAATTTTTTGTTTCGATTGCACGAATTTTCAAAAAAAATTAATCAAGGTTAAAGATGATACCCGTGACTAAAAAATACCTGAATTGTATTTTAGAAAAACAAAGGCTCCGTCGGGGTGGCAGGTGATTAATTAATACCTACTGACAGCCCCCCTCCCCCTTCCCCCCTTAGGGTAAATGTTTTAGCAAAATTTTATTTTTTTTTTCAAAGAGGTTAATTTATATATATATTTCAATTTACAATCAAGTTATAAATTATATTTATATTAATTTCCGGTTGGGTAATTAAAATAAATAAAAACGAGTACAAAGGTAGATTTTTTTTGTATTTTTTCTCATAAGATTTAACACGTTCTACCTTGCCCTTTGACCTCGGTTATACTGAATACGGTTAGAGGCGATTTCGTTTTTTGTTGTTTTTTTTTTTTATACTGTATTCCAATTAAAAAAATTTCATTAATATTATTATTATCACGACG